TCTCGGCTGGCCTGGGAACACCTCGGGATTCCCCCAGAGGAGCTGGATGAAGTGGCCGGGGAGAGGAAAGTCTGGGTTGCCCTGCTGAGACTGCTGCCCCTGCGACCCGACCTCGGATAAGCGGGAGAAAATGGATGGATGGATGGATGGATGGATAGGTGTAATTTTGGGGGGCCGGGAACCAATTAATTGGTTTTCCATTATTTCTTATGGGAAAAATTCGATCAGAACTCGAACTTTTTAGGATTCGATCCGGAGTCCGGAACGGATTAAGTTCGAGAACCGAGGTACCACTGTATTTCATTTAAGATCCTTAGGTTATGTCACAACAATAATGATGATAAGTGCATCAAATGGCACGACATATACAGCATTCGCATTCTGATTATACAGCCGGGCCTATTGGTATAATTACGGAAAGTTTCCATGGCAGGTGCTTCCTGTGGTGTAATGTAACCTGTTTGCCATTTGACCCGAGGATGTCACGAGGGGTGGGGGTTGTGTGTGTTATTGGCGCGACTGGGATGTAAGTCGGTAGGTTTTTGTATACGTCTTCTGAGCAGTGTTGCCAACTTAGCGACTTTGTCGCTATATTCAGCGAGTTTTTACACCCCTGGCTTTGTCAGCCCTGGCTTAGCTTCGTCAACAGTACATTTAAAATTTTCTACATCTAAATGACTACTAAAATAAATTACTGATTTGACTCACACACCCTCAGTCACTTACTCACCTCCTCCACTGTGTTTTCGCCTCTCTGTGACATACGCTAAACAATCATCATGTTTCAGTCTGAACTGTATTCTCAGAAATACAGAAAGGAGTGGGAGTCAAACCCTGAATTCAAAGGCTACTCAAAAGGCAAAACCTTATAACAGTTCCACCCAAACCACACTGCCATCAGGTCACCATGGCATTAGCTATCGCTGCTTTCTCAGACTCCGCTACTGCTACCCACTTCAAAATGCACAGGACAAAGTGTACAGAAATGATTAATGGTGTTCTAGCACCGTACTTTCTAAAAAAAAATTGGTCCCAGATATGGGTGAGCATCATTTCAGCCTCCTCCTCGATGGGTCCGCAGATGTAAGTGTTCTAAGTACCTGGGGATTGTGATAAGGTACTTTAGTGACACCAAGCAGACAATTGTGTCAACATTTCTGGGGCTTCTTGAGCTGGAGGGAGGAGGTGCTATATCTATAAGCAGTGTTGTTGTGTACTACTTTTTGCGACATCAGCTGTTTACTCATTTACGTCAGCTCCCTCAGTTGAGGAACCAAACATAGAAAACCTTGACCATAATGATGATGACCCACTCTTTCTGTGAGACAGCACAGCCTGTGTGTATGTACTCTGCCAGCGTCTCTGAGCATTCAGACAGCTATTTTCAAAAAAGCAGTTGCGGTTAAATATCAGGAAATCATGGGTAGTGCGTTTTTGGGCTGCTTTCATAATGTTTTGTGGCAGCGGACTGTAAGATGAAAAGAGATGAATTATGAACACAAGAGGCTCCTAATCCTGAGTGATATTGAATCACTAACCACTGAAAATCAACCGTCAACCACGGTCGTTTGTCAATGGGAAGTTGTCATCCCCGTCTTTTTGTGGTTTGTGCTTTGAAGGGAAAGCACACATTTCTGGGTGGGGGCATTTCTGGTGGGGGCATTGTCAAACGAATAGGAAGGTGACGTCACCTCTCGCTACTAACTTGCATACTGATGTGAAAGGGAACAGTTTTGTGGACCAAAGCTGACAAATATAGGGGTAAAAAACATATGACCCTTTTAAAATAACATTCTCTAATTAAACCAACTTTTTAGGCGCAATGTTTTATTAGTTTTTTTTTAGTATTTTGTGGTAGAAATCACATTCACGATTTCTTGCAAGTCTAGCCATCAAATGTGAATTAAATGTGTAATTTAATTTTTAGACAATGTGTAACTTCAAAATGTATTTCTTAAACTACGTGACAAAGTGAACTAACCTGTATGTACCACCAGAGAAAGCGTCTTTGAAAGATTATATCACACACACACACACACACACACACACACACACACACATATATATATATATATATATATACAGTATATATCCACCTAAAGTGGGACCAAGCAGATAATGAATATCTGATACCCAAGATTAGAAAAAAACACTCTGTCCAAGCCACGGTCCAGCTTTGCATACGTGTGGACAGTTGTAGTTTTAACTTAATCCCTTGTTTCTTTCTTTTTAATTTTTTGTTTTATTGCTCTAATTGGAGTTTCTAAATTGCCCTTAGGTGTGCATGTGTGAGTGACTGGTATGTGAGTGTGCCCTGCGATGGGCTGGCCCCCCATCCAGGGTTGTTCCCTGCCTCGAGCCCATTGCTTCCGGGATAGGCTCCGGATCCCCCGCGACCCGGTAGGATAAGCGGGTTGGACAATGGATGGATGGATGGTATAAGTTATTTTTAGAATAATTCTGTTCATTAGAATAAGCAGCACCCCAGTCTCCCATGAGGGCAGGAACCTGAACCACAGCACCATTAGACCAAGGATCACTACACCGCCCCCTTCTGGACAAAGCTTTCACATACCCTTACATTGCTCTTCAATGAGGTTCTTGACAAGAGAAACCCCTTGTGGAATTGCTTCCTATTTGCCAGGTGTGGTTTCTCCAGTTTCCACCAGGGGGCAGCCCTGAGTGAGACTTAACCTTTGATCTCCCACATGGGCAGCAGCAACCAGAGTCAAGATATTTTGGTCAAGCTTTTAAGATTCAGTTACTGTATGGAGCAGCAGTAGAAAAATGTTAGAACATTAGCGTTTGAATATGTTCTTTTAGTTATTGGTGCAGTTAATTTTTTAAGGTGCATTTTTTAAGTCCTTACATCCTATTAGATTGGTCTGATGCATAGATCCATGGAGGTTTGTATGGTAAAATAGAAATTGTTTTTTGTAAAAGTTTTTGGTGTTTATTCCAATGATTTTACTAGTAAAAGGATTTAAATATTGTTAAATACCTGTGTAACTCTGCTATGACATGAACATCCTTATTAGGTTATGAATATGTGATTTATTTTATAAATCATCCAAATGTAAGGAGGGTAATTAATGGAACACCAGTACACCCAATGAAACCAGTGACAGATAAACAGCTCAGCTGGTTTTGTGTTTGTCTTGGGAGGCCTTGGATGTTTTTATGTGACTGATTCCTGTAACAGAACAGAAACCACAGCAGTGTTGTAGCTGCCCTGCCGGAAGCCGCTCACCTTACTCTGCTTTTTCAAACAGCACACAGCAGTACAGTGGGGTGTTTTGGTGTAACTTGTGGTTCATATAATATTTCATTTAATATCCTTAGGTTATGTCACTGTAGGTACAAAAACATCTTAAAAATACCTAAGTGAGTGCAAGTTAATACAATTTCACCTTTATATATCAGCTGTTTTTTTGTCAACTTGAGCCCAGTTACTAAACCAAAGAAACACAAAAATGCAAAAAATATAAAATTATTTAATAATAAATAGTGATCATATAAACAATTGCTGTGCATGTTGTTTTTGATACATATGACAACTTAACAATTAAATTAACAGAAATATTGTCACATAAACCCATATAACAAACACAACATTGTGTATAAGTCTTAGTACTACAGACTAGAGTTTGCTTCCCCCCATGTACTGCAACCTTCTCCACTTCCTGCTAGTATGATTTTTATTTAACCAGAAGAATTTATATAGGTATACCACCTCTCACATCCAGTGGGAGTTGGTAGTTGGACATCAAACAGCAGCTAGTCTACAGCTGGCTGGTCGAGCCTGAAAGGGTTAATGGAATGCAATGAAGCGGAGAGGGAGGCCCGAACGGCTCAAGCCGCAGCGACAAACGTCACTTCCCGGAGCCTTCATGTCGCCACCATAGAAATGGCGAGTGGATGATCTGCGGTGCTTTTCGTGAAAAAATGCTAAAGCCGTGAATTGCCGTCCAGTGTAACCGTTTTGTGGACTAAAGCTTTCATATATAGTGGTAAGAAATATATGAGCCTTTTAAAATAACCTTTTCTAATTAACCCGAGACAGAAAACTAACCATTTCAGTGTGACAAACTGAACTAACATTTATGTACCATCAGAAGGATTTCTTTTGGAGATATGCTATTTGATACTGGTTAGGCGTAACGTTTTAATCGTTTTGCTATTATTTTGTGCTGGAAATCACATTCAGTTTCTTACAAGACTAGATGTCAGTCTCTTAGAAATGTGTAATGAATTTGCATCACATTTCTCACTTAAAAGTCCCATTTCTTAAACTGCGTGACAAAGTAAACTAACCTGTATGTACCACCAGAGAAAGCGCCTTTGGAAGATCAGATATATAAATTATACAATAAAATGCCTTTAATTTCTAGATATCGTAAGTTTAATAGTTGTTGTATCTGTATCACCCCGCTTCTCAAACCGTCCTAAGCGTACCGGAGGTAGGCCTACGTCAGGACTCCGATGTTGCTTTATAAAGGTTATATATCTCTCCCCCGTTTGTGCACCTTACAGTTCGGCGTTTGACCACCTTGTGTTTCGGCTGTGTGTATTTGGGTGCTTGTTATAGACCTGTCAAGGAGTGTAATTAAAGAGCGTTTGCTCCCGTCTAGAAACACCATTCGCTACGCTCGCGATGCATCTGTCTGCCTGGCGGTACAATGTATACAAACAAAAACGCTTAACCACGAAATAACTTACATTAAATGTAAACCAGGTTTTGTCTTTCTTGGGGGAGGGGAAAAACGTATTTTCGTGTTTATATCAGTCAATAGGCTACAAGCTTACTATGCTAGTGTAACCGAGCGGAAGGCACGGGCCTAAATAAAAGGCTGCGAGACAGAGTGCTGTTTACCGAAAATGTTACACCTACCGAAAACCTCCGCTACTACGCATGCGCACATTCATCACGAATGCGTCCACGAAACCACATTTTCCGGCGCTTCTTCGTTTGAACAGGAATAATGTTCTTCCAGTTACAGGCACATTTCATTTTTTAAGGTGCATTTTTTAAGTCCTTACATCCTATTAGATTGGTTTGATGCATAGATCCATGGAGGTCTGTATGGTCAAATAGAAATGGTTTTTCATAAAGGTATTTGGTGTTTTTATAATTTTTTTCTAGTACAAGGATTTAAATATTGTTATATACCCGTGTAATGCCGCTTTGACATGAACATCCTTATTAGGTTATGAATGTGTGATTTATTTTATTAATTTTATAAATATTGTGTACTGTGTACAAATTATTTATTAATAAATAGTGATCATATAAACAATTGCTGTGCATGTTGTTTTTGATACATATGACAGCTTAATTAAATTGACAGAAATATTGTCACATAAACCCATATAACAAACACAGCACTGTGTATAAGTCTTAGTACTACAGGCTAGAGTTTGCTTCCCCTCATGTACTGCAGCCTTCACTTCCTACTTCTCATTAATATGTTTTTTCTTTAACCAGAAGAATTTATATAGGTATGTCACCTTTCACATCCAGCGGGAGTTGGTGGTTGGATATCAAACAGCAGTTAGTCCACAGCTGGCTGGCCAAGCCTGAAAGGCTCACTGGAATGGGTGAGTCCCAGATGTGATATTCTGTAACTCTGGAGCGGAGAGGGAGGGAAGTGGAGAGGTTTGCTTTGGGGGGAAAATGACGGGGATGAATAAAAAAACGATAAAAGCTGGCTGTGCGTTTCCATTCACGCCACCCTGGTATATGGCAGGAGTGAATGACCGGTGCTTGTACACAATATTCAAGGAATGTTCAATCCGTGGATTGACGTCCAATGGTGCCGTTTTGTGGACTAAAGCTTATATAGGGGGTAAGAAATATATGAACCTTTTAAAATAGCCTTTTCTAATTAACCTGAGACAAGAAACTAACCATTTAAGTGTGACAAACTGAACTAACATTTATGTACCATCATAAAGATTTCTTGTAGAGATACGGTATTCATTACTGGTTAGGCATAATGTTTTAATCATTTGTATATGTGTGTGTGTGTGTGTGTGTGTGTGTGTGTATAAATACACTCACCTAAAGGATTATTAGGAACACCTGTTCAATTTCTCATTAATGCGATTATCTAATCAACCAATC